GTGTGTGTTTGTGTGTTTGTGTGTGTGTGTGTGTGTGAGAGTGTGTGTGTGTGTGTGTGAGAGAGTGTGTTTGTGTGAGTGTGTGTGTGCTGCTCATACAAACCGTCTCTTGTACACTTCAGTGAGATCTTCTTGTATGATGGGCAACTCTGCCTGCAGACAGGAAATGATGTTGATCAGTGTCATATGATGGATTCCAAACATATTTAACATGGAGCGTGTTGTATTTTTGCAGCTGTCGTGTGTGTGCAGAAAAACACACTCATACACACACTATGGCTGCCCCCTAATAGTCGATTAATAGTCGTTAGTCGACGAGAAGGCTTGGTCAACCAAAATTTTATTAGTCGCTTATTATATATAATAATCACTTTTTCAAATAAGTAATGGCATTTTCCATGTATTGACTGACAGCTCTCCTGTCCGCATGTTACATTTGTGTTAGTAGTGTTGAACTTTCTTCCAGTGTTGCCAACTAATTTTCAGGGGAAGTTGCTAAAGGCAGATTGATTTGTTGCTAAAAGTTGCTAAATGATGTTGTCGTTGCGTGATGACGTCATTGCATAACCATTACACAAAACAGCGTTTTTATGTGGAATACACGATATTACTCAAATCTCAGCTAAAAATATTTTTTAAATGTTATTTGTTCATAAAAATATTATAAACAAAGTATTTTAATTTGTAAAAGTAACATAAGTAGCACATCTTTATGATCGGATTTGCTTAATGCACATTTGTTTGTACTATTTCTCTAGCTCTCTCCATGTTGATGTGCTGCTTGGCTGGCTAGCTGTTCAATGGTTTCCTCTTTTTGTGTAATTTAGATGAAAATATGTCTTTTTTAACATTTGAGTCACTTTACAAAAGTTGCTAAAAGTTGCCAAAAACTTTTTAAAAATAGCTAAATTTGTTGCTAGGTGCTTTTTGAAAAAAAAAATTTTTTTTGCTAGGGTAGTCTGAAAAGTTGCTAAATCTAGCAACAAAATTGCTAAGTTGGCAACACTGCTTTCTTCTCCTGCATCCTGTTCTTCATGTAATACAGAACAGCAGCACAGCTGAAGGTTTGTTTGAGCGGCGCCCTCTACTGTACAGACCTGAATTTACATTTGCTTGAAAAGGCCATTTAAAAGGCATTTTACTAGGGATGTCACAATCAGGTTTTTTGTGCAACCGATCCGTGTCATTGAATATTGAGTATCTGCCGATGCCGAGTCCCGATCCGATACTTGTATTTTCCTAGTGCTTGGTGCACAATTCAAGTACATTAAAGTTTTTAAACTCAATCCAATGTGTACAGAGTTGTGCAGAGACTTTCTCAGTGGCAGGGGTTAAAATGTAAAAAAGGGTATCTATCATCACTAATATCCAATATAACAATTACTATATAAACTATATATACTACATATACCTTCCAATAATAAAGATACACACTATCTCTCTATATATGCACACACTGTATAAAAACACTGGTAGATTTAAACATGTTGCAATGATAGACACTGCAAACAGACTGTGTGGGCACAATTATTAATAAGGTACTACTGATATAAATAAGCAGATTAATTGCAACAAAGTGAAAAAAGTTGAGATAAGGTTAGAAAGCATGAAGTTTGCGAATGTCAGAATGCCAGTCTATTGCGTCCAAAACAAGACGCAACCATAGCAATACATTATGACAATGACGTCTCAGATAGTCTGTCGGCAGATAAAAGTAAATAGTAATAAATTACTGTAGAGTGATTCCTTGCACAAAGTGCGCATCAAATACGCTAAACGATTAATCTTAAACGCGTGTGACACGCTAGAACAGACCTCATTGTTCTCGTGTGTCAAACACAAACATTTGAGCGTCTTCTTTTCATTTTAATGGTGGTGAACTGTTGTAAGTGCATACCGCCACCTATTGCATGACACCGGTATGACAGCTGACGAATCACTGGTGGATCAGGCTTAGGACAACCAATACCAATTAGTTAAAAAGAATACCTTTTACATTTACCAAAAATAGATCTTTTTAATATTAAAACAAAAAAACAAGCAAGTAATGCAATTAGTTACTTATTTAGGGAGTAATGCAATATTGTAATGCATTACTTTTAAAAGTAACTTTCCCCAACACAAGCAAAGACCTATATTACAACCCTCAACATGTTTAGACTTTGATGACCCAAAAAAAATGGGTTGGTCAGATGTAGATAAATGGATGTGAACAATTGATTTAATAATTTTGTTCCCAAATGCACAGCTAGGTCACACACACACACTCACTCACTCATTCACACACTCACACACTCACACACTCACACACTCACACACACACACACACACACACACACACACACCAAAAATAGATCTTTTTAATATTAAAACAAAAAAACAAGCAAGTAATGCAATTAGTTACTTATTTAGGGAGTAATGCAATATTGTAATGCATTACTTTTAAAAGTAACTTTCCCCAACACAAGCAAAGACCTATATTACAACCCTCAACATGTTTAGACTTTGATGACCCAAAAAAAATGGGTTGGTCAGATGTAGATAAATGGATGTGAACAATTGATTTAATAATTTTGTTCCCAAATGCACAGCTAGGTCACACACACACACTCACTCACTCATTCACACACTCACACACTCACACACTCACACACACACACACACACACTCACTCACCCTCGCTTTTCCAGCAGGCCCTGTAGAGGAAACATGTTCTGTGGATTCCAGTCTGGGTCAACATGCAGCCAGCGCCTCCGTCCCGCAGCAGACACGTCCAGCACCACGTCTGCAGAGAGAGGAGAACTGCACACACATACACACACTGCAAATCACAGCAGCAGTAACAGCACAATTAATATATTTAGACAGAGAAAGATCTTTAAGGCTTGTAATATATTAGATCAGTGTTCTTGTGTCCTGCAGTGTTTTTCTGAAGAGTGTGCATGTGAAATTAAAGTAACAGAAAGTAAATTACTGATGCGCTGCATGTTAAGAATACAGTGCAAACACGGCACACTTAAGCGATGCTGTGTGTGTGTGTACTGACCTTACCCTAAACCCATCTGTATGCACGCGACGCTGCTGAGGTTTGAGCTCCATCCATCCGCACACACCCGATACTCCAACCCAGCCTTATGCACCACCACAAATCCCTCGTCAGACAGAGACACTGCACACAAACACAACACACTCACTTACTAATGGTCACCATCTTCACCAGTGTTGTTTTTCCAACAATACACAATCTGTCTGCAGCTGCTGTATTATCAGGATGACACTGACATGATTTAAAGGGGTCATGAACTGAGAAACCAAAATTCCCCTGGTCTTTTGACGTCATTGTACCATAAAAACTTCCTGTAAGTTTCAGAACTCAAAACTTTCTCTTTAGCCTAAAAACAGCTTATATTGTAGGCAGTCTAAAACTGCCACTCTATGATGTGTGGATAAACCCCGCCTTGCAGAAAAAGATCAATGCCTTCTTCTACATCGCTGCCTGTTTAGCCCCACCCACCGATTCTATATCACTGCCTGTTTAGCCCCGCCCACCGATTCTACATCACTGCCTGTTTAACCCCGCC